ACACTAGCTTTAAATGGAACACTGTAACTGGACTGTATTTTTCCAGGAATTGACCTCTAACCCTGCAGGGACTCAGCCTGCTCCAGAAACCAGTCAGGGCATGGTGAGGTAACACACTGCACCCAGTACACTCTGAAACCTGTCTTTGGTTCCCAAAATATAACTGTATGAGGCGATAGTTAAAATATTAACTCATAAACCATTATATGTTGTCTTCACTCTGTAGGTTGATCCTGAAGATGATGTTTCCTACACCTCCATCAGCTAGAAGACCCACTGTAAAGCCCAGGTAAGCTGTCTGTCATAACAGTGTTGGTAGTCAATATATATATATATAAAGAATTAATGTATGAAAGATATCATCCTCTGTTTTACCCTTGAATCCGGTCTTTGTTAAATGGTGAGCTATGTTTGTTGTGTTGTATGTGATGATCTTTGTGTTTTATTACGTTTTATGATGTTGCGGTGTGCTGTGTTTATGTAGTGTTGTTATTTTGTGCTTTTAAAGGTTATATATACTAGATTTAAAACATTAGTGGGTGCAAACAACAATTTGTTGTTACTATGTAAAGATATAGTGGAGTTATCCTCAGTAGGGAGTGACGTCACACTCCCTTCACCTGTGTTGCTATGGCAGCCGGTTTGTTTACATAGCAATATTAAGCGTTATATTAGATGCTCCTTTGCGTTGTGTTATCTTTCATCATGTTGCCTCACTGTGTGTCACTCATGTCTGGTACTGTGTCACTTATGTCCTATAGGTGCTGGGTGGTGGTGAAGCAGTGACCTCCAACACTGTGAAAGCATCCTCCTCTTCTGCTTGAGCCTCTGCTGATCACAGCAACCTTTATGCTACCATCAACTAACCAAAATCTAACATTATATAGTTACATTTAATATCACTGCATTAATTTTATAGTTATACTTCATTACTAAAAGCTTTCTGCTGTGAAGACAAAGTTGTTTTTGTAAGAATGGGTTGAATTTTTTCATTGCTTTAGTGGTATTGTATTGTGAATAAAATGTCTATGTAATCCAAATGTTGGACAATATTTAATCCTCATTCTTTAACTCACTGTTATTTTCTAGTATTATAATCTTGCAGTTTGTTTTTAACATGTGTTCATCCTTCTTTCCTGTACAGCTGTAAAGCGCTTTTTGTCCAGAAGGGGGAGATGTAAGCTAAGTTATTACCACTATGTAAATGCGTTTGCCCAAGTTGATTGCCATATAAATATGATACTTTTGCTCAATGAACTTGCTGTCAGGCACCTTATTGTGCTATGATGTATGTACTGTTGCGTGGTAGGATTAATGATTCGGACAGGATAAAGAATTACAATATGTATTTACAGATATATATATACTGTAGTGATTGGACACTATGTGAAAGTTATAGAAAAAATTGAAAATGCTAAAAGCTCTTCACACACAGTCTTACACACAGGTAGCATGTAGGATGTTAAAACTGCACATCAAGATGGATCACAAAACCTTGTAATATATAAACATATATACATACATATAAATGTCCTCCTTAAAAGGCATTAGACTATTGTGGTGAAAATATCTCCAGGTCTCTTAAAAACTGGATATGGAAATTAGGAAGTAGGGGTTTTTCATATTTTGGGAATTTCTTTAAAACTCAGCTGCATATTCACATAGCCATAACACAGTGGTGTTTAGTGGCCATTTGAAAAGGATCTTTAGAGGACGTGCTGGGGACATTTTTTGGGGGGGTTTTCTGGGTATATTTACTACACAATAAAACATAGACAGATGCTGTTTTGTATAGTTTTGTTGTAATTTTTGATTTGCATATGTGCAAACAATGCAAACAAGCATGCATTTGCCTCACAATATAGCTTTATTCATCAGACAGACCATGTGCTCTTGTATCACCAATGTAATTTTAAAGGCCCAAACAACACGTGGAGCATAAAAATCTCTGTGCATGCTCGTAGCCCGCCTGCCATCTGTGGAGGCTTGCGCCACGGTGTCTCACACAAGCATACATGGGTGCCAAAGAAAAAGCAGGGCAGTGCTTTGATGTGCTTTGGCTCTATTCAACACACTAAAGTTAGATTATCATCATTGTCTATCAACATACTGGCCTCACCCACCTCAGGCCTTAGAGGGTGACCCCAAAACTTTGAAATTGTTTTTTTCCATTTGAGTCTAGAGAGCACCGTGTGCTGACTCCTTGCTGCAGCAGCCCAGGGTTTGAATTTGAACTGTGACCCTTTTACTGCACACCACCCCCTCTCTCTTCCCCCATTCCTGTCACTATTGATTAAAGGCAATAAAATCCTCCCAAAGAATATATATATATATACAAAAACAATTACTTACTTACATTTCCATCTCAACTTCCTGTCCTCTTCCTCGTCTTTTTAGGACGTCCATTGTCGCAAATGTAATGCAAAAGCAATGATTACTGAATGAGTGAAAACTGTGGACATCCTGTTATATCCACTGTCTTCATCTGTTGACTTTACTGCTAGAAATATTTAATAGCTCAAGTCAGTTTCTCTAATGTTTCATACAACAAAAAAAGATGGCAAGCTATAAAAAATATTTAGTTCGCTGTTCTCTCAAATTTTTAATTTCCTTAGCTCAACCTGGTTTCCTGAATTGTACTCAGAATTAGTTCTTAAAAATACGAAAGTGGAAAACCATTTGGCTGTTCATGTACAACAAAATTCAGAGAGATGAAAAGATTAAATAGTCCCTAACTGAAAAGGATACGTTACTCATAACAGGAAGTAAACGCTGTATCTCTCTTAAAGAAGTACTCATTCGGAAACGTTGACAGTTAAGGGTGTAAGATTGAGAGATAAGAGAGAGAAGCAAGATGGTTCTATTCGGATGGCTTAAAATGTCTTTATTTGTGATACTGGTGCTTCTGTTTACAGGTAAGGATATTTATACACATAGATGAATGTAGAAATATGAAATATGACAAAACCTTACATATTTAGGTAACTAATTTAAGTTAAGACATTGGGACAGTGGACTCTTAGGGACATTTGCTATTGTTTGTTGTATTTAATATTATCCTCATACAAAACTATGAACATAAATGTCATATTCTTTGACAGTTAATTTTTTATAAATAACTATCATCTTCATCAGCAGTAACTGGACAAAACATCCCCTCCTTCACTGTCAGAGCTGGAGATGAAGTCACTTTGCCATGTGAAAATGTGATTGAAAATCAGGACAAATGTGACAGTACCTCTTGGATTGTCAGTCATGCATTTGAAGCATTAGTGGAACAGCTGGTTAATCTTGGGCAGATGAGTAAATCAGACAGACTGAGTGTTACAGCGAACTGTTCTCTGGTTATAAAGAAGGTCACAGTCAAGGATATTGGTCGTTACGCTTGCAGACAGTTCAACGAATCAGGACAACAACAAGGTGGAGATGCTCAGGTTGATCTGTCCGTTATCATCAGTGAGTATTTACATCATAATGTTTTCAGCTCAAACTGTCTTGTTAGAACAAAATACTGAAACATTACAATAATTATGATTATAGTGATGAAGTTCATTTTACTCTTGTTGTCCTTCTCTCACAATATCTCCATCTTCACCAGTGACTGAACAACAGTACAATGATACAGTCATCTTCTTCTGTGCTGTGTTGACATATGGACGCTGTGGACACACAGTGAAGTGGCTGAATGATGACGATAATGATAAGAACGGCATGAAGACATTACAGTATACTTGTTCATCCAGTGTGATATTTAGATCTCCTCATCTTAATCAGAAGTATCATGAGTTACTCAAGTGCAATGTGATAGATAAGAGTGGACAAACACTGCTGTGCAATGTAAGCACCCAGTACCCTTGTGAAAAAACAGGTACCGGTGGTCTTTTAAGATTATTTATTCTTTCTCATTTAGTGTCTTCAGATAGTAACATGAGGTATTTTATCACCATTTGTTGTGTTTTGTTATTTCAAAGCAACAAAATCCAAAGGAAGCACAGTAGCAGAGAGACACGAGACTACAGAGGATGACACTCCAACACAACAAGGTAGTGACTTAACATTTTACATATCTCGCTCTCTCATTTTCTTTCTCTCACTCTTCTTATGGCCTTTGAAATATGAACATCAGAAACCAACACATGACTGTGGTTAGACTCAAACATTGTTGTTGCTCGCTTATTTATCCTTAAAAATACACAAGGATTCTGCACATGATGGCACGTTTTATAATTGTCTTCACAGTGACTGTTGGTCTGTTTTTTTTTTAATCTGTTGTATGTTGGGATTGGATTTAATTTAGGAGAGAAAAAAACAGTAAAAGAAAATAAGCAAACCACAACCCAGACAATGTAGCAAACATAAGCAGTTTTATTGAATGAATCTTGATCATTTAGATGGTTAAGTTCCTTAAAGATACTTTTTTGTTTTGCAAGGTATAATATGCAGTCAGTGCAAACATGACTGATATGTTAATATATGAAACTGATTTACTTCACAAAGAATATTTCAAAGCTGCATCATTTTAAACAGAACAGAAAACTGCAGTCAAAACATGTTTTAATGTTTTAATTCTACTTCCAGACTGGTGGATGTTCCTCATTGTGTCTGTGGGTTTAGCAGCACTCATAACAATTGTTGTGGCGGTCAACATATGGACAAAAACTAAAGGTGAGAACATTCACAGATGAAACAAGACGTCTGGATAACCCTGGATTTTCACAGTGGAAACTAAAGACAGCTCTCCTTTGTCTTTTCAGGGAACAGAACACAGATGGATGAACACATTGTGAGTTTTAAACTTTAATAATCAAATGTTTATACAGTCCTGACTTTTAGAAAACAGTGTTTGAGGTAGTTTCTTTGCAATTACTAAATGTGGCTCTGGAGTAAACTCACTACTGAAATGATGGATTTCCTAAAAAAAATCTAGAACTGAGCTGAGAGGAATATTTGGGAGAAAAAAGTTATCTATTGAAAACTGTAACTGGACTGTATTTTTCTAGGAAATGATCCCAAACCCTGCAGTGACTCAGTCTGCTCCAGAAACCAGTCAGTACGCGGTGGGATCACACACTACACCCAGTACCATGAGTTAGTTTAATCTCTTTGATCCCCAAAATATAACCCAGATGCGCACTAGTATCCTGTTATGATCTGTTTTTTGTCTTTTTGTAGCATTGTTATGTGAATATAAGACATCATATCCTGGTTTCACAAAGCTGCGTAAGCTCTTATTCTGGGTTTTAAAAAACCTGGAGTAGAAACCAGCATATTGTGGCACGTAAACACCTGATCTTGGTTTCTGAACATACTTAGTATAGAACACAGTGGCTGAGATGGTGAGAAATAAAGACACACCTGCAGGCAGACAATCAGACCCTTGGCTACTGAAAAGATTACAAACACAGGGCTTCTCATGTTCCATGTAAACATCATATCCAGAATAAGATCAGGCCAAGACCAAAACCAGGACAGGCTACTAATATGCACATTAAACAGTCAATTTAAGACAGACACAAGATGCATAACATGGCCTCCCAGCTAAGGAAAAAGAAGTTAAAATATTAAATGTGATAGACTAGAATAAAGGTTTGGATCTGTATAATTTACGTTACTGATCAGCCAATATAGTATTATTAAAGTCCAACAGCTGTTTGTGACAATAGTATTGGTAGTAAATATGGGAAGAAAATGTTCATATATGAAAAAATCTAAATTTTACCCTTAAATCCCATATAATCTCATGGTTAAGGATTGTGATTGTATGTGACATTGCTTTGTGTTTTATTGCATTTTATGATGTTCCAGTGTGTTATCTTTTATCATGTTGCCTCACAGTGGTGAACTATGCCGTGCCATGTCCACGTTCATGAGTTGTACTGCGTCACGTGTGTCTATATGATCGGGGTGGTGATAAAGCACTGACATACAGAACTGTGAAAACTATTTCCTCTTCTGCTGGAGCCTCTATTCTACCATCAATTATCAAGATGTAACACTGTACAGTTATATTTATTTTCATAATATTAATTTTACATTATTTGACAACAATTTATAGAAATCAGGTTTTATTCCCTGAGTGAATTCAATAATTTCACTTTGCTGTCATGGTACCGTATTGATTCTTGTGGAGAAATTGTCTATGCAATCCAAATCTTAGACAGAGTTTTTTTTTTTTAATTTAATCATCATTCTTTATCTCACTTTATGTTACTTTCTAGTATTATAATCATGCAGTTGTATTTTTATCCACCTTTATTTTATTTTTTGTTGCTGGAAAAAGCTTTTTGTCCAGAAGGGGGAGATGTAGGCTTGTGCTACTCAGTTTACCATGATGTAAAAGTAATAGCCCAACATTCATATGGCTTTGTCCCATATAAATATAATACATTTTGCTCTATAAACTTGCTGTCAGGCACATTATTGTACTGTGATGTATGTACTTGTGGGTGATAGTTCAAAGCCCTTTTGGATGTGAAGGAAATTATACAAATCATAATTGAAAAAAAAAAGAAAATGATATTCTGTCTGTATTTTGTGAGGTGTGGATAGACTTTTGTTGTAAACTAAGATGAATTGTATTGCAGTGTATTATATTGTATTACATTATACTGTATTGTATTATTCTACTCCATTCAACTAAATTAAATTCTCTGGTATTTGTTATCCGTTCAGTTCTGATTTAACCTTGTCGAGCACCTGAAAATGCACAAAATGTGCAAAATCAACAGTTGCAACAAGGGGCAGAAAATCCCATTTGTTGCAGATATATCACTTGTTGTCGCATTCGTCCATCAAAACTGACCAATCAGAGAGGGCCGTCAGTTCCAAATATGGTAGCGCATACTCTTAAGCCCGCCCCTCTTTGTCGGCTCCACCAATGGGAAGGCGCCGATGGTCGGTGACGGCCAGGGATACGTGCAACGGAGGGATACAGGAGAACAGTAGGTAGCTCGTAGGACCGTTGTATCCTCCTGAATGATTTCATCATGTGAGGGGATTGATGAAGCCTTCTTTATCAACATGAAGTCGGAATTTCTGGGGAGATAGTTGATACCGAGGCGCCGTGCATGCTGCTGACGGGGCGGAATGAGCAGAGGAGGTCGTTTTCCCGGACTAGGGTGGTGGGAGGCGACGGCCCCCGCGGTGTTGTGAGACCGAAGGAGAGGACTAGTGTCAGCTAGCTGGCCAAACATAAGGACTTCCGGATTGTATTTTCAAAATAAAAAGTTCCGAGGAGAACACGATTCGTTTGGTTGAGATTCCTGATAGTGTCGTTTTACAAAACACGCTTAAAATCGTTAAAGCCGAATAAGTGATGGGTTTATGAGTATGCCGCAGCTTTTCGCGGTATTTGTTCCTTATATACGCGAGATCGACAAACGTACCGCTTTTATTTTGGTGGAATCTTCCGTGTTCCCAGCCCAACGGTTGTTAGCTCCTGCTAACTTGACGGGTACAAGAAGAGGTGAAGTTACAAAGCCTCGAACCAAAACAAGACTTTACAGCCTGCGGTGGACAACGTCGCCTTGTTATGAATGGGACCTACCTCGTCTCACTGTGTGTGTTTCAAGTGAAATGCCTTTTAAACCGCAGGAGCCGTCGTTTATGTGAAATTGGAGCCCCGGTGGAAGAGACGCTACGGTTGGATTAATAACGGTTGGGACATTTCAGCGGATGCACTCAAAACGCAAAAAAAAATCCCTGATGTCGATATGAACTTGTGTCTTTTGTCCTCACAGGTGAGTTTTGAAGACGTTTTTTTGTGACAGAGTTACGTCTTTAATTGTGTAGTTATATGCTGTTAATGTAAAAAGAAACCAGCATGAGTTTTAAATACTCTTTAATGAGTTTATAGAGCCCTTACAGTGAGCAGTTAGGGTCGTTAATTACATTACAAGTCTTTTATAATAACCTTTTTGTACTCCGTCGTGTATTTTACACCTTTGGTACTCCAGGCTACTTGTGTGATTCTCAATGTTGATTTTTGATCATGTATTAAGATTTTGTCTGTGACCAAATGTGCTACATGATGTTATTTTGGACCTATGTTTTCTCTACACATTTTTTTAGATTTTAGATTTAGACTTTTACTCTCATATTTATGCTTTTTGTATTTATTATAGTATTTCTTGCTACATTGAGGAGGATTTTGCCTCCCTATTTAGGGTTTTGTTGTTATGTTGTCAAGGCTTCATACTCTGCACCATCATTCCTCTTCCAAAATAGGAAAGGCACAGATCCTCTTTGGGTGAACCTACTTGGCGGGAAGCACCAAACTCTACTGTACCTTTAGGGAAACTTGCTTGTAAAGAAATTGTACTGTAGACTTATTTTAAAAAGCGTATGACATTTTTACTGCATTGCAAGCCTGCTTAGAGGGAGTAAATTGTGTTCTGCCATTGTTCAAGTTGTTCTGTGTTGTGTGTTTTTTTTTTTTTTTAGGTTTCCTCTTTAAGATCAACATGTACCGTCCAACACTGACAAACAAGTACAAGCTCTTGTAGCTGGAGGAGGACTGCCTTCCCCTAACTTTTCCTCCTCCTCTTCCTCCTCCTGGGATCAATGACGGGCCCCAACTCCCCAAGCCGGTCCGGCACCTCCTCGGCCAAGCTGAGCAGGCACGGCCGGTCCAAGAGCACCAGCTCACACTGCCTCCTCCGGTGCAGCACCCAGGAGGATTCCTCCGCCTCTCCCCCTAACAACAGTTCCAGGTCCCCCGGGGAGGAAGAGGAGAAGGATGGAGGGGTTCTGTTCTACGTCAACAGGACCGGTTTTCCCATCGAGGGCGTAACCTGGGAGAGGATGTGGTCCCATGTGGCTGCTGTGCACCCTGAGGGCCAGGAGATGGTGGACACGATACGAAACGCAGCATACCTTCCCAAGGTAAGCCAACTGTGATTGGTTCATCCCTCAATGATTGAAGTTAAATGACAGTATTTTAACCTTTAAAGCACACACTTACCACAAACAGTGCTACAATGATAAGGATTGAAACTTATCAGTTTGTTGACATTCCTTTGTTAATGAAGTTTGCCTTTAGCGTACGTTGTCTTGATTTCAAAAACACTTCTATTGTCATAAACCATGTTGCAGTAGACCAACACACCTGTTCATTGTCATATTGCCTCTTTGTCAAACCTGTTTTATAGCTGAAAGATTATTGCCATTCATAGTAACAGATGGCTGAAGTCCTGGAATGCGTCCATGTCTCCCTCCTTTTTGGAGGTCTGTTCAATATAATATATATATATATAAGTATTCAGACAACATCTACTTTGTGTAGTCAGGAAAAGACTGATTATAAAGTAACCTGGGAAGAGTCTAATGGGGATATGTGGCAGCATTGTGATTGTCCCATTTAAGGAGCGTGTAATCATTTGGTTTAAGTTAAGACACTAAAAGTCTACACGGAGGTCATGGGAGGAGTTCACATGACACCAGCAATACATTAGAGTTTGATGGAAGTGCATTCAGTGTTAATGGATGCTTTATGAAAGGGTTCCCTCTGGGTTTCCCTGTGGCTGCAGAAGGAAGCCCCTGCACTTTTTAGTGTTGGAAGAAGCCTTGTTGTGCTCTGCTGTGACAAGACAGGGTGGATGAGTGCACGTGCTGCTCAGGCTGTTGGCTGTCTAAAGAGCAGGCACTGGCTATATGATGGGACTGGTTTTCATCAGGTTTGAGGTTTGTATTCAGTATACATATGTTGGTCTCATCGCTTGCTGTGAGTTTCTGTCCTCATCAGACATGCTTTATATCTGCAGCACGATGTTGATTGTATCAACTAATAATATCAATTAGTCTGTGGATTATTCTATTTATTAGTCTCTAAAATGGCAGATAATATTTTTTCTATTTTCTATATATATATATATATATATATATATTTGTCCCAACACAAAATTCTTACCCTTGCAAAGCTGGAACGAGCAGATGTTCGGCATTGTTCTGGTTAGTAAATGAGTCAAACAAGTAATTGGTTAATTGACTAACTGTAGTGCAATAGAAATATGAAAAAATAATATGTACAGTATATCATTTATTTATTGTTATAGTATTTTGGGGTGCTTGTGGCTCAAGTGTAGTAGAGCGGGTGGTCTACTGATCACGGGGTTGGCGGTTCATCCTAAGACTGAATAAATGGAGGAACGTTACATCAGAAAGGGCATATGGTGTAAACAGTGATTATAATATTATATTATATATATTTTTAACAAGTATGTCTACGTGCCAACAAACTGCATCTTGTACTGTCCGGACGTCAGTGAGGAAAATTACAATTGTCATATGAGTCAAGGTGTCAGATTATGTGTCTCTTAGTCACTGCGAGGCATAATGGCTGTCTGTGAAGAAGTGTATGTGTTGTTCACAGTTGCATTGCTTAGGTGTTAATGTCGACCTGCTTTCACACACAAATACACACATTTTCAGGTGTACACTCATACACATGCGGATGTGTGCTAAATTGGGGGCGCCATACTTGTCAAGTGATGTTAATTCTGCTTTTTGAACTTGTCATTGGTGTGACTCACCATGACTCCTGACCCACACACATGCCAAACACACACACACACACACACACACACACACACACACACACACACACACACTTACCAAGACAAAAACATTTGCCGATGACACAGACAAATGGGTTAGAAAGTGACATGAAAATGTATTTTGTATACAGTTTCAATGTTCTGCAAAGAGTTTACAGTAACTTCAGTTTTACATGACTGACTATAGAACACTTCAACCAACAACCAGCTTTAGATCAACGGAAGATTTGCCTTCTATCCAGAAGTAGTGCTGAAACGATGAGTCGACTAATCCATTAAAACCGATTCACAACATTATCATGATTGGTTTATTATAACGTCACCACTGTCCACGGGAGATTGTCTCTCCCTATGGTGGTGGAGCTGTTTTTGTTTTTGAGATCCACATGCTAACAGTACTGACTTCCACATTTTCATTTGTTAATTTTATAGATTAAACATGCTTGCAACTCATTAAAAGTAATATATCAAACAAAAACACTAAAGACTTGCTGGTTCCACACTGTATAAATAAAAAAGTGACATAGTTTCTGTGACATCAGCCTTGGTTTTCTGAAGCTCCAAAGTGTAGTCAGCTCTGAAACACTATCTCCGTTGTATTCATACACCAGTGTGTAAAAATTCAATAGCAACAGTAAGTAAAGTAAGTATACTGTATTTATAGCATCACCAGTACTACTGGTAATATTGTCTTTCCTTTGGTTATTTTCTCCTTTTACTGAGCAGCATTGTTTGTGTAGCTGCACAAACATACAGAGGCCAGTGAAAGACAAAAATATGTGCAACTGGTTGTTCACAGTGACAGAAATGGCGTCCCCGCTGGCATGATACACATCTTTGTCTGCTGCTACAGAGGCCTCTTAGCCCAGATTTTTCTCATAGTTTTCCCGTCAGTGATTTGGATGAATGCTTGTTGTGTTTCATGTTGTGGAGGAGGAGGATATCTGGTTGCTGTTTAGCTCTACTAATTGGCCATGTGGTCATTAGTGACCCGGTTGGCTGACAGTGCCAAGATCCCATACTGTTGTTCTGGACAGAAGGACGACAGGAGGACATATGCACACAAACAAACACACCAACATAGAACAAGTGTACATACACACATAAGCCACTTTTATTCTCGCCATATATTATAATAGTTTCAGATTTAATGTTTGCTCATGAATAGCCAACTGTGATTGTAAAGCCACTTGGAAGCTTTCAAGTAGGAAAAGAAAGTATTTCACTGTAGCAGTGTAAAATCGTATCAGCTAGTTTAGTGTTTTGGGACGAAGTAAAGTTGTAAAGATAAATTATATGGTTATATGAACCGTTGTTATGTGCTTTTTATTATTTTATTATTTTACTTGATGACTTACTAATGTATACATCAGTCTAAACTAAACTCTATTCCAAAGTTAAAAAGATTGGCAAAACAACTTTGCAGGAAGTGGGTTTATTTTTCAGTTTATCTCTTGTTCAGTGTAATTGGAAAAAGTGTTATTATATAAAGTTGTTTTGCTTTGAATTGCTTTGCTAGGACACTGCTATGCTGTGTACAATATGGACGCTGTATGCAGGCACCTAAGGTGTCCGTTGGTTTACATTGCAGTATTGTTACGTTGGTATATGCAACCTGACTCTTAGGTGTGTGTGTGTGTGTGTGTGTGTGTGTGTGTGTGTGTGTGTGTGTGTGGAAGGTATGAAAGCAGGTGGTTACCACAGGTACAGTTGTTGATACACTTACCCAGAAAAGGTATAACATTGTTATTGGAACAAATAGTGTGATATGAGAAAGAGTCCAACCATTTATTACAGCAGCTGTTTGTAATACTTCACAACAGTAAAAAATAAAATAATTGAGAGACATTTATAAAGTTGCCAAAAACAAATGACACCAATGGTGAGGAGAACTCTTTACGCTGTCAGCCACCAGGTCACTTTTGGGGGGAAATGTAATGGATTGCTGAGGTATACAGATCAGAAAATACACAGAAAGTAGGTCCTTTGGATCAATTAAAAATGCAAAATGTGGCAACTTCAGGTAGACTTAACACAGTGCATGTCTGTGTTATTGTCAGTGACCAGAGTCTATGCTGCCACTCTCCGTGCCCTCATTAATTGAACTGAAGTCTTGGCACAGGGACCAAATCCCTCTAATACAATCTGGGTAGTGGATAATCTCTGGATACCAACTGGACTACCTAAAGGACCTTTAATAGGAAGCAAAACTGGGTAGAACTTGTTTGAGCAAAGATCTCTGTCAAAGCTCTTTAAGCAAAAAAAAAAAAAAAAATATTTTAATCTAAGATATGTATTCAACATCACTGTAATTGGATGTTTTTGGCCATTACTCACTTCCCAATCCTTTCTTAGGCTTTCACTTTTCATCAGTTGTTTTAATTTCGAAATTTGAAATAAAACATACTGGTGTGCTCCATGTTAACTGGATGTGTGGTTGCTGGACAAGAGCAATAACTAAAACGAACTGTAAAGTAGATGTTGTCCTCAAAGAAGTAGGATAAAAGACATTTTTCCTTCCCATAATCCATTGTAAGTTCCATTGTTCTGGAGTAAAATGCTTCTCTTCATGATGTGACAAAGGGATTTTATTTTGGGTGGCATTAACAGATTACACTTAAACAGGACGTTTTTTGCAGAACCAGCTCAGTGACATACGATAACCAAACAATTCCACTTCTGTCTGCGGACGCTTGTGTCAGTTTGTTCAGTTCAGGATACAAATGGCGTGTTTTGAATTGGACGTTAGTATGTATGGATCCCTGCCAACTTGGATTAGTTTAGACAGATGTTCTCTGAGGCAAAGAATTACAGACTACAGCAATAATCTTCAAGAAGGTGTTCTTTACTGTAATTACTGTAGTCCTGCAGTACAAACTGCAGTTAAGTACTGCTGTCAGCACTGAAGCAGTTTAAGTCCTCAGGAAAAGGCTGTCATCACTTCTTATACAACCAAATAAAAAGGATGATTGCAAGAAATGGGAAGAATCATGTCGAGACTTTGCTTAATCATTTGTTTCTCAGCTGTCTCGCTTGCCACACACACACACACACAGAGATCAGAGAGAAAGGCATTCCCTGGGATGTCCCGCTCTAAAGATATCTTCTTGACAGCATGAAATGCAATCTGTCTCTCTCCCTCTCTCCTTCTTGCACGGTTGTTTTGCAATTTTGAATGCACACACAGCAAAGGTGCTTTGAAGGTAATAGGTCTGTATTATCTGTAGTATCTCTTCATCTCGGTGGTCCTCATACCTGGTTACTTTGATAACTTGACTAAAATGTAAAAATGCTTAAATTAATAGGAAATAACCTTTTATTTTAAAGGCTGTGCAAGTTACATTGTAATGCTCTGCGTACTCTCGTTAACTTTTCGTTTTTCTTCCTCCCACCACTTTCTACTTCACATCCCCCATTACCTTCTAACATTTAAAAAAAAAAAGAAAAATCTCAAAATCTTTGTCTCTTTAGTTACTGTCCCTCTGTTTTCTGTCACTGCTGCTGGGTGGGTCAGGTTGCCTCTTGGCTCAAGAATGGAGGGCTGGCGGGAGACAAAAAACTAGAGCTGGGTAAAAAAGTGACAAGGAGGGCTGGAGGACTGAAAAGACCAAGTGACATAAGAGAAGATGGCGAGGAAAGGGGTGTGACAGAAAAACTCAAGGGGAAGAGACGAGGGCGAGAAGGGAAAAGGAAGGAGGAAAAAAAGAAAGATTTGAGATAACTGTGAAGGGGAAGGAGAGGGATAGGAGAAGATAGCAGAAGAGAAGGGAGGGGGAGAACAGGAAGGGAGGTAAATACCAGTCTAAAATGGGACTACACATGTGGGCAAAATTGTAAAAACAAAAAGTGTACCCTTCCGTTAAAGAAAGAAAAACCCACACTGGTCACTGAAATAACTTGAAACTGACAAAAGTAATAATAAATAATAATTTACTGAAAATTAACTAATGAAAATCAGACATTGCTATTGAATTGTGGTTCAACAGAATCATTAAAAAAAAAAGACTAATGAAACTGGCCTGGACAAAAATGATGGTACCCTGAACTTAATATTTTGTTGCACAACTTTTTGAGGCAATCAAGCGATTTCTGTAACTCTCAGTGAGACTTCTGCACCTATCAACAGGTATTTTGGCCCACTCCTCGTGAGCAAACTGCTCCAGCTGTCTCAGGTTCGAAGGGTGCCTTCTTCAGACTTTCAGCTCCTTCCACGGATGTTCAATAGGATTTAGATCAGGGCTCATAGAAGGCCACTTCAGAACAGTTCAGTGTTTTGCTCTTAGCCATTCTTGGGTGTTTTTAGCTGTGTGCTTTTGGTCATTATCCTGTTGGAGGACCCATGACCTGCGACTGAGACCAGGCTTTCTGACACTGGGCAGCACATTTAGCTCCAGAATGCCTTTTTAGTCTTGAGATTTCATTGTACCCTGCACAGATTCAAGACACCCTGTGCCAGATGCAGCACGGCAGCCCCAGAACATAGCCAAGCCTCCTCCATGTTTCACAGTAGGTACAGTGTTCTTTTCTTTGTTTGCTTCATTTTTGCGTCTGTGAACATAGAGCCGATGTGACTTGCCAAAAAGCTTCAGTTTTGTCACATCTGTCCAAAGGATATTCTCCCAGAAGCTTTGTGGCTTGTCAATATTCATTTTGGCAAATTCCAGTCTCGCTTTTTTTATGATTTGCTTTCAACAGTGGTGTCCTCCTCGGCCGTCTTCCATTCAGTCCACTTTGGCTCAAACAGCGACGTATTGTGCAATCTGACACTGATATACCTTGACCTTGGAGTTCACCTCTAATCTCTTTGGAAGTTGTTCTGGGCTCTTTGGTTACTATTCGTAATATCCGTCTCAGTCTACAGTCCAGTGGACCTTAAACTTCTGAATAATATGTGCAACTGTAGTCACAGGAACATCACGCTGCTTGGAGATGGTCCTATAGCCTTTACCTTTAACATGCTTGTCTATAATTTTCTTTCTAATATCCTGAGACAACTCTCTCCTTAGCTTTCTGTGGTCCATGTTCAGTGTGATACACACCATGATAACAATCTACGTTTCACCCTTTAAATAGGCTTAAAAATAGGATTACAAGTTTGAAGACACCTGTGATGCTAATTACAGGACAAACCTTAGTTTAACATGTCCCTATGGTCAAATTATTTTCAATGTTTTCTGGGGATACCATCATTTTTGTCCGGACCAGTTTCATTAGTTTGTTTTTTAAAATGATTCTATTGAACCACAATTCAAAAGCAATGTCTGATTTTCTTTCTTTAATGGAAGGGTACCAACACTTTTGTCCAGGTGTGTATGAAGTGATCCTCTCCCAGCTGAACTGTTAATATCACTTGTCACCGACTCTACGTTTGTGTAATTAATATAATATCCTCTTGGATTGATGAATGGCAAATCGCCTCGTTTGCATGTTTTTAGCTGTTTAGCTGCTTCTGTTTCCCAGGGTGATGTAAGCTACATTCACACTGCATCTACATTTTTGACTCCTCATAAGAACGTTATCTCCTCTGCAAGTTCACGTACAGTTTGTATATGAAAAACTTTGAGAGCTGTAACTGACATAACTGCCTGATATTTTCAGGCAACATAAAATTTCATCAGACATTGCACAGTGCTGACTGTCCCTCTAAGGCCCGCTCTCAATAGTTTTTGGGGTTGTGGACAGCTGAAATGCTGCAGTTTACATGAAAAAAAATGTTCCTTGCATTGCTCAAGGACACACTGTAAGGTCAAATGGATGTTGGTGTGTACCGCATTTAAAATCGAGCCTTTTTTATATGAAGGTTTGGCACTGAATGTGATGGCGGTAGAAGAAAGATGGCAGCTCTAACTGACATTCCCGTGTAGCAGAGAGAAGAGAGGGGAGGATGATAAAATTGAGGGATCACCAGTCATCTCACTCCCTGACCCAGCAGAAAGCAGCTTTAGAGTGTGTGTGTGTGTGTGTGTGTGTGTGTGTGTGTGTGTGTGTGTGTGTGTGTGTGTGTGTGTGTGTGTGTGTGTGTGTGTGTGTGTGTGTGTGTGTGTGTGTGTGTGTGTGTGTGTGTGTGTGTCTCTCTCTCTCTCTGTGCCAGCTGATGCTGTATTACGCCTTAGTGAGGATTTCACTACATGGGAGATTATGCACCAGTAAAACCTGCTATTTATTTATCTTGGCTGGCTGGCAGATTGGTTTATGGGCTGAATGACTATTGGCCGGCCTGATAACTACAAGAGTGACCAGTTGATTGTTTGTTTTACTTGCTCGATGACTTATTGACTGAATGGCTGACTGACTTTTTATAGAGATGTCCATAGTGTAGTAGGTGTAAATGTGTCGTCATCCACAAATGTGAAGTGGTATGAAAAATGTCTACCACAATTTATAAGTGGTTTATTTAAATGTACATCTTGGTAGATCACATTTGCCCCAGTTTTATACTATGACCCCAACGATTTTGCAAAAAAACAAAACCAATACGCCATAACAAGTATCAGGGCTTGACCTCCATTTTGCCCTGTTGTCCTCCTCCTCAGTTCTCTTTTTATGCTGTAAATAAACAGTGAAGCAAAAACCCACAGGAAATGATAGGGCTGCTGCTATATTTCACCCTTCCTGCACACACACAGAGCACACAGGCTGCCTGTGTGTCAGAGGAAGTGTCGGTTTTTGTTCAAGCCTGACTCACTCTCTGCCGGTGTGGCCGTGTCCTTTTCATGAATCCACATCTGTGACTTCGGTTTCCTCTCTGAAATGGTTCTTGTTGAGGTGAGGCAGCGGTGTGGTTTTTCGTTTTCACCTCAAGCCTTTCTCCTCACAGTGTGGGTGTCTGTTGGCACAGCGGTCTAAGGTGGTGCACACCACATAACCCTAACATTCTGGCTTAGAGACTGGCTTTTGTTCTTTGCCATCCATCTGTTTGTCATATTATTTCCTGTGGCTACCCACTGCAAGCAAAATTGTTTAAATTTTCTGTACAGAAGGCTATAAGTGTACCACTGTCACTCTTGGCTAAACAAATGTAGCGCTGCAGCTTTGAATTAATATTCTTTAATAGTAGTATAAATTGTTCACTAGTGTAGCCAGTGTAAATTTATTCCAGCAGTGGTGGAACATCAGAGAGTGTTGAGCTGTAATGAGCCATGGGTCATTGAAAAGGCAGATTTTAAGAGATGGTGGTTTTAGGACACTGAACGTTACCACATGTTGATTTGCTTGAAATAATCTTTCTCTCTATCTCTCTCTCTATCTCTTACTCTTTCTTCAGCATGCTGTTCCCTCAGTCCCGACCTTCAAACCGTCCATGTCGGTCCCTGACTGGCTGGTGGCCATCCAGAACTACATGAAGGCTCTGCAGTATCCTTTAACAAAGAACACAAGGCAGCACATATCATGATGAGAGCTACACCTGTCAGGTGAAGCTAGTCTGTTTGTGTCTGATTGCATTTTACATGTCAACAGGCGCTAAATTGTTGAGACACCAGTGTGACGGCAACTTCAGGAGTGCTCTGTGAGGGACAGACAAGCAACAATGAAGACTGCTGTACTCTAAAAATCCTGTTATCCCTAACATTTCCACCAGATACAACCACACAGGAACCCAATTCTTTGAAATCAAGAAGAGCCGTCCACTGTGTGGGTAAGTGGACTGCAGCTTTGAAGAAAGGACATGCAATTACAGTGTCATGTAAATACCTCTGTCTGATTACCTTAACAGCATTCACTTCATAATTAGTATAAACATGTTTTACACATAGCTTAATCTTATTTGGACATTTGGAAGCATAGTCTCATTTCTGTTTATATTTTGAATTTAAATGTGCCTGAAGTGGTCAAAATTGAACCAAATAGAAAGCACTGACACTGACAGTGACATTGCTGTGAGTAAATCCTATATTCTTTGACACATACGATACTATACAATAGCTGCTGTAACTAAAGCTGGCTGATTAGTTAGTCTGATTATATGACGACATGCTGTAGTAGTGAGCGGGGAGACCACCAACCACCTTTGACCTCCCTGTAGAGGGTGGGAAAAAAGAGACCTCATCTGTAGAGATCAATAAAGCCTCCCAACATTACATAACACTGAAGCATTTAAAGTGTTTGCCTTAATGCCGTTTTAATCGGTTTGTTTTGAGTCTTTGTTTGCCTTTTAGTATTTACATCAAGTTGATTATCTTATTAGAGCATCTTGATGGGAGTGGTATTAAAAATAAAACTCACCCAGCTCTCACCAGACCTCACAGGTGAAATTGGGGAACACATTTGCAAAATCCAAATCAGAAATACTTTTCTGAAGGTAAATCTTAGAGATTTACCCAAAATACATAAAACCTTATGCTTAGAGTTAATCTATAGTTTTCCCATGAATTTTAAAATTTAAATGACTTTACAAACTTTAAATGTTTTCCACATCTCTTCCCCTCCTCCTCCTCTTACTCTTAATCCCTCATGTTTTCCACTTGTCCCTTGTTCTTCTCTTCCCGTTCCTCTTCTAACCTTTCTTCTCCTGCTCCTCCTTCCCCTCCTCTTCCCTGCTTCCTACTCCCACTCATCCTCTTCATTCCCCTTCCTGTTTATTCATCTCCTCCTCATCATCCTCCTCCTCCAGGTTAATGGAGACAGCAAGAGAGATGATCAGGGAGTCTTTGCCAATCAAATGTCTTGAAGCCGTCATCTTGGGAATGTATCCTTTCCTCACACACACACACACACACACACACACACACACACTGGGCCAAGAGGTTATTTTGTTATGTGTGGGTGAAATCAATGAGACATGTTGCTCTAATGTCCTAATGCCCCCCTACCACCACCACCCTTTCCAGCTCTTCCGTGTTGCCTGGCAACAAGCCCTCTTCAAAGTATAACCCCCCACCACACACACACACACACACACAGCTTAGTATCACCCGACAGAGCTTACATTTTAAAGCAGCAGTCTGTAATTTTTGCAACAGTTTTGATATTAAATCTCCAGAAAACCTGCCCTTTTTTCTGTCTTAACAGATTTGGTCAGCTACAGTTTTAAATGAGAAACAGTGCTTGATTATTCTCTAGTGGAAAAGCACCGAAGCCACGGTTTGACTACAAAGGCCCATTTAACAAATCAGTGGTTGCTCTTAGTCATTGTGTCTTGACATTGAGCCTCTGTGGGCAAACATTTGTTGAAGTGGGCCCTTGATGTCTTTTTAGAGCTCTGCTACCTGTCTGTGGTTGTGTGGATGCAGACTTACTGTATGTGCACACGTTAAATATCACAGTTTCACTGAAGTAAACCATGATGAAGTTTTTTCATCATGGTTACAAATGCTGAGGTCAAGGCTAATTCAGCCTCATTCAGCTGTCATCATAAATCTAAATCGTTGTTAAAATGATACATTGATTAATCAATTAACAGATAACAAAAAACAATTCACTGATTTTGTAATCAATGAACCTTGATTAATTTAAACTGTATGAAGCATTCACTGGTTCCAGCCTCTGAAATGTCATTTTTATTTTGTTAAGTAAAAACCTTTTGGGGTTTTTTCAGACATAAGAAGGTGGCACAGCTTGTGGTGACCCACACTACAGGATGTAAAGGAGCTGATATGTGGTGTGTGCTGCAAACATGTCAAGTCATGAGAGACTACCTCTGTGTGTCTGTGAATGGATGGTCCAGTTTCACATGTGCTAGTTTCACAGTGGCTTTTCTCCAGGGCTGTCAGGGTGGCCGCTGACAGTGACTTTAATTGAGGCTGACTTTGGCCTACAGATGAAAGGAGGAGAGAGAGAGAAAGTGGCAAGAGCTCAACAGAAAAAAATAACACAAAGGCGAAGGAACATATGAGCCACAGGGAGTGAGAAAAGGAATAGATGATCAGTGCGAGTGATTGGGCTTTGTGCCCTTCAAACAACCTCACACTGTCACATTCATATTGCCATGGGACAGTGTGTGTTTGTGCGGTGTGACCTTTCACCAGACCTGAGGTCATCCAAGCCGAAAAAGGAATTTAGGCCCCAGCGAGAATTGAACTCGCGACCCCTGGTTTACAAGACCAGTGCTCTAACCACTGAGCTATGAGGCCTTACCTGTGGATACAGGTGAATGAACAGGATTTGAATATGCATGATAGGGGTGGACACACCTTGTAAACATACCAGCTATTGTTAAGATAATGCGATACCAACCTAACCAGTTGACTCTGTTAATAACTTAATGACTGTTCCTACACTGACTGTTCTCTACAATAAAGAGTGAGGCAGTGTTGTGAAGAGATAGGAGTAAAAAAGAAGAGTAATAAAAAAAGTGGGGAACAAGGGATGAATAGCAGCTCTTGTTATAGTGTGTGGCTGTTGGAGGTGTCTTCTGTCTTTTGGCTTCAGTCTGTCCTCTGCTGCTAGTTCCTTTCCTTCCCTGTTAACAGTGATCTGAATTCTCTCCAGGATATTCAGGGTTTATCTTGGGTAACACCAGCTCTTTGTGTGGGTTTGACTGTGTGTGTTTGACTCTGTGTCTCATTGTATTAACCATCACTGACTAGCGCTTTGCCGAGTAAGGCCAGAGTACAAAGCAGCCTCAAGTTGAATAATAATCAGAGGAACGAACTTACTTCAAAGAACTTTTCAAACCTAAAGTAATAAAATACTACAGAGTAAACAAGGCAATGGAGACTGCATGCATATTGTATTGTAGACATACAATACATATTTAATTTGCAGGCTGTTTAGAGGCTGCAAAACAGAGCAAACTGCCAAAAGTATGTTGATACCTGAACATTACACTATGAGTAGAAAGCTAAATAAAAAAAACTGTTTCAAAGAGAAAAAGTCACTTTCTGCACACACTTATATATATATATTTATGAGAAAGGTTGGCTTTTTAATAAGTCAGGACAGAAGTGATTCAGGGAATTTATTTTTTTTTGGCCTTTTATTGCCTTTATTGGATAGTGACAGCTGAAAACAGACAGGAAGGTGGGGCAGAGAGAGGGTATGACACGCAGCAAAGGACCACAGGTTGGATTTGAACCCTGGGCTGCTGCAGCAACTCTGTATATGGGTCGCCAGCTCTACCAACTGAGCTAACCGGGCAGCCAAGTTCATCTTTTTCATTGACACCTGAACATTAGATCATGTATGATTGCTGATAATCTCATTCCAAAACCACCTAAATTGCTCTCATTCAGCCTCAAGAGTGTTAGTGATGTTGGCTACTGATACTGGGAAATAAATCTCATTCCACTTCATCTTAAAAGCACTGGAAGGGCTCTATGCAGGCCAGTCAAGTTGTTTTTGGACTTCTTTGTGTAGGATGCATTGTCAGAACAGGAAAAGGGCCTTTTGCAGTCGGTTGCCACAAGGTTTGAATGCATGCTGTTTATTGTCTAAAATATCACTGTGCGCTGTTGTGTTAAGATTTCCCTTGCGCAAGCCATGAGAACAGCCCAGACTTCCACCTACTGATAGTCCAAGACCATTCCCTAAGCTGCTACTGAAGAAACTCAGAGCCTTGAATTTGCTTATGATGAAGACAAGGAAAGCACATGACACCGTACATAAAGAGGATTTTATGCCTTTTGCTGTATTTTCTTATCTTGAGGAAGGAAATGAAGAGGGGGGGAGGCGGGTAAAAGAGAAAGAGACGGCAATGTAGGCATGTAAAAGGGGGAAAGAAATATGTGTCAGAGAGAGCGAGTTTAAAAATTCATTGGATTAGCTCTTCATTGTATCCATAGATAATGTTTCTCACTTACCTCTGCCTCTTAAAAAATAGACCAGTGAAATATAGTGTGTGTGTATATATATGTATTGTATTTGAAGGATTTCATGCAGATGATTAAAGCCTGTCTGCTGTTAGTATGGGAGGCAGACCAGAACTGTCACATTCCAACAATTGGCAATTGACTGATAGATGGATAGAGCTGAGTCATGGATTATTATTATTCTAGCCTTCATTTCCAAGCAATAAAGTGTGAGTAAGAAAGAGAGAAGTGATGCTATACTCATTGGCTGTAAAATAATTGACAACTCTCTCGTAGTGGTTTCCATGGCAACTGACGGAGAGTAAGAGAGAGAGCGAGAGAGCTACTCTTAGCAGCGTCACATGTCCTCCATCACAGGAAGTGTGTTTGTTTAATGAACCATTCATTAGAAAGGAACAGCAGGGTGTGTTGTGTGTCTGCAGACTTGGTGCGCAAGCTTCGTGTTTCTGTTACTATGATGAACAATAGCCTTGCTGCATTGTGCACCACACAAACACAGACACACACACACACACACACACACACACACGTTGGAGTCAGCTGTAGGTGGAGGAGGCCAGCCTCAGGTTCCTCTCCAACGTAAACATTTAGCATCCAGACTTAATCATTGTTAATAGCAGTCAGACTTCCTTTCTTCCCTGATCACCCCAGTAGTTAATGTAACCCTGCGTGAGTATGTGTGTGTGTTTGTGTGTTTGTCCTTAGCCCTTCACAGTATAACTGATCTTTCCTCAGCAGTGAAATTAAGTTACTTATCAGATGATCATGTGTGCATGTGAGGAATGAAATCCAACAGACACTGCATTAAGATCATGAGGACACGAAACTAGTGAAACTAAGTTAAGTCAGAAATACCAGGAAACCACAACAGACCTACACATGTATATTCATTGGAACTGTACTATTTGTACAGACAGTAAATTATATACATTTTTCTGTAATTGGCTGTAATGCAGGTGGCATGTTCTTAGGTCATGATTAATACCTGGGTGTACTCCAGGACAGACACAGAATTCAAAGCTGGTAATGGCTTAGCGGGAAGGAATTCAGGGTCTTGCTTAGAGATACTTCACCAGACTGTGGAGGTTTGGTGGTTTCATCATTCAGTAGGCCAGTCTACCCTGTTCAGGTCTGTGTTCTGCTGTAACACTGCAGGCTTACCTACAGCATGGAGACACACATGCAGTCATTTTGATCATGAAGTGTGATCAGTGGTGTAGTTGTGTTGGTGGCCCTTTGTGAATATTTAATGAAAACACAGCTGTGCGGCAGGCATGCAGGCTGTTGGGGTGACAGACAGGCACTCTGGCCAATGACTGGCCAATGACAGGCCTCTGCAGACAGAACAGAGCAGATGGTGGGCTACTGGCCGGCCAAGATACTTTCCAGATCTGTGTGTGTGTGTGTACGTGTGTGAGTGTGGTTGCACAGACTGCTACAGTTGGATCCCTGTCAGCGTTGAACTCTGTGAAGCTGTGCAGTCCACTGCATGAGAGCTGACTAAATATAGACGATTCAGTTATCAATTGGATTCACTTCTTAAAATTTCCATTTCAAACATTTTATCATGAAGTGGACCAGTTTTTGTGAAATGAGCACGGACTCTGAAATCACAGACAAAGCTCTTGCAAACGTTTCTCTGCCACCAACTGTTTGTATCCATATGTTTGTGAGCTAAGAGGAGGTTATAGGTCAAGAGGTGCACATAATCGCTACCTTAACCACACACACACCCTGAACATGTGTGTCATCACCTCCTCAGGCTTCTGATGGTACCAGATAGATAATCTTTTTCTCTGTCTTTGTTTTTCTTGTTAAATAAGAGGAAAACACAATGAATCAGACAGATTCAGTCAGACAGGAGGAGCTGCACAAACACAAACTCTGGCAGTCTCAGAGCCATTGTTTACCCTGTGGCATTTTCATAGTATTGGCCTTCTGAGAGTCAGTCTGAATCTAATTTAACATGACTCAAGCTGCTGCCCCTCTGTTGTGACAAATCCAAACAAATACACTTTTCACAAACTTTGTCCTCAAATGTTTTATTTTTATTTAAAGTGGTGCAGAGAGCAACAAGACAAAAACAAAAAAAACAGGTCCTTCCTTAATTCCGGTGTGTTGACCAGCTACCTGACCAACGGGCTGACGTCTCTCGAGCGTTTTCCCATCAGCTTTAAGACCCAGTTTTCGGGCCACTGCTTCCACCACGTTGTGCTGGGCGTCTACTGCAACGGCCGCTATGGATCACTGGGCATGAGCCGCCGCCAGGACCTGATGGACAAACCACTGACCCACCGCACTCTGGGAGAACTGGTGGCCGAGTTCGAGAGCTCCTACAAGAGATACCAGCACACCCTGAAGAAGGTAAGAGAAGGGATGGAGGAGGGAGTAAAAGAATGGAGTCCGAGTTATGAAGGTAGAAAAGAAGCATATGTATTAGTAAAGTTAGTAGGGATGTGTTTGATTTTATCGCCTGCTTCTCCCAGGTGAAAATCGGCCTGTATGTGCCTCACGACCCCCACGTCTTCCAGCCAATCGAGTGGAAGCATTTGGTGCTGAATGTTGCCCGACTGGGAGCTCAAGAGATGAGGAAGGAGCTGGAGAAACACGGCCGGGACATGAGGATGAAGGTATATGTTGTATGAACACACGTAGACATACACTCCAGGTTTCATAATAATACAGATTTAATTATTCTAAAAAAGTTAAAAGTTGACAATTTTCATACAAAAGAAGTTTTCATCTTTATTTTAACACTAAACACTTCATCATTAGTAAGTTTAAGATTCCTACAAACCACAAACTACATCATACCCATCATATTTGAGATATAAATACACCAGGATTAGAAATGAATGACTAAAATGCCCCTGTAGGAACAAAAAAATGTCAGTTAAATAAGGATGAATAACAATATCCCTTTATGAGCTTCTGAGTAGTTTTGTAAGCGTGCAGCCTGAACCAGGAAAGGAAAACTGGCACCAAGCAGCCAGAGGCAGAAGAACAGATTGCACACAAACCACAAAATAAATCAACCAGGATGGTAATAACTGAACAGAATAGAGTCAAAATGGACCATGTAGGATTATTGGGACAGTTTCCAGGAGTAAAACAGTTGTTAGTGGTACTACTGATATAGTTTATTTGCCAAAATACTATAAAAACATGTAATTTCATTCAAAATCTCTCTCAAGATCAGATGAAGGGGGCCAAACATGATCTTTTAAAAATAGTGAAATATCAGTGTGAATAAAACCACACTATCATGATACACACATAAAACAAATAGTTTTTATTAATGGTCGTGTTACATGTGCTGCCTGTTAGCCAGGTCTAAAAGCATTCTGCTGCATTTCATTTTCTTCTAACCATGACTAAAATCTGTTTTGACTTATTGGACTGAGATGAGTTGATACAGGGATTCCTGCTCGCTTATATATCACCGTCAGTGTTATTAGTCCTGATGCATCCACTGCCAGTACTCATTTCTAATCTCAGTGTCTCTGTCTAGACTTTAGGTTCAAGTTTCAAAAGCAGGTTGTCTTATGTTGAGATAATCCTGGTAGCTAAACTCAGTACCAGAAACAAAACACTCATTTTTTTTTCTTTTGAGACTGAACAAGGGAAACACCTTTATTATAGTTTTTCCATGAGACCGGAGATGGATGTAAGTTCCTTTGGGCTGAACATGGAATATAAACTGTCCAGAATGATTTAGGGCATGATGGGGAAGGAAGGAATGTGGGAGTCTGTGTGTGTGTGTGTGTGTGGAAGAGAGAGACACACACAAATGTAGGTTGTTTGAGGTTAAATCTTTTATGAACCCATGGGCTTTCATTTGTAATCTTCTATGGGGTTTTTTGTTGCATACTGTAGCACATGCAATTCCATGAAAGCAATGTGTGAGTCTGTGTATGTCTGTGTGTGTGTGTGCTGGGTTGCGTGCGATGTGCCAGTGTTAAATAGCAGTACAGTATATAGGCTGCACTGCATGTAAGCAAGATATGTAGGTCAGCAGGTTTGCAGCTGCCACACACTCAAATGCTATCACACACACACACATGCACATGCACATGCACATGAAAACACAGACAAACAAGCAGTCAGACTCTGGTCAGCTGCGTAGTGGTTTATGAGACTTTGGTATAATCTCTGGTGCACTCCAGAGAATGTTTATTATAGACTTCGACAGTCAGTTCATTTTGTTTGTTCCTCTTTCTGCTTCTGTTTGAGTTAAAGGTAGCATTAAGTTTATGTTAGTAGCTATGGAATGCACTACAGTAAGTCATTGAAAGTGCTCACTAGTATGGACTTAAAATGTGTGTTTTGACTGTAAAGAACTCGCAGTAACACATTACAAGGCTAATGCATTGAGGTCAAGATAAACCCTCAATTCACCCCGTTAGATGAAACAGTAACCGCGAAACGGGCTTCTTTGGCTGTAACGTTAGCTAATCTATGTGAAGAATGGTCCCATCAAAGTACATCTGCTAAAAAAGTGGTTGTTTGAGAGGCTCAGATTGTTATTCAAAGTGTTTGACAACATCATAAAATGGATACCGACAGACAGATAGACCTTTTGTTTTACCAGAAAGAGCACTAAATCACTCACGATCAGACTCCATAGACCAAAACAATTTTAAAAAAAACACATGCAAACACACACACAGACCCATATATCTATCAGAACAGCTTGACAAGCGTGACCAGCTGTGGAATATGAGCCACCTCCAGGCTTTTGCTTTGTCCGGGAAAACTTGCCATCCGTGTTTATCCTGCAGTTTTCTTCTCCCACTGAGTTCTTAATGATAGCTTCAAATTGCACACACACACGAAATGCCTCATTTGTAGCTTTAAAATTGTATTTTTTGCACGATTCATGTGTCACAGCAGTTTTTCGAGATTGAGGGAGATTAAAAAAAGAATAAAACATCACACACGCATGCATGTGCACAGTCAGTTTGTCTTTCTGGGCTCCCATTCATCACGGTTGCACTTTTGGCCCTGCAGCTGAATAACAGCAGTGGTTGTTGGCATCATGCTAGCATAATTTCTGTACATTGAACTGCCTGGAGGAGTTCAGTAGCTTTTTGTGAGAGTGTAGCAGGGTGTAAATAGAAAGCCAGCGTGTGTCCCGGGCTTAACCATTTTCACTGGGTGATTTATTTCATGAATTTTATGGCACTTTGGTTTGTCTGTTTACTAATGACAGCACTGACTCTAAAATCATCTGAGTGCTGAAACGATTCTTTTGTTTCCTGTCACTGTAAAGATATAAATATATTTGGTAGGTTTGGTAGGTAGGTTTTAGACTGTTGATGATTAATTGGGAAAATAAATAAAGATAAAAACAAGCTGACAAGTGACCCCAAATTATTGCTTTAAAACTAAAACAAAAGGCTAAAAAGGGCAAAAAAAAGCTCAGTAGAGCTATAGTGTGGATGTTAAGGTTTAAGTTTAAATGATCTCAGAAATTGTGATATTGACTGTTTTTTTTTTTTTACTGTGTGTGATTTTCTTGTCAGATCCTTAAATCGTCTAGTGCCCAGTCACCAATCAAGGAGCGGAGCCGGGGGAAATCCTTATCACCACGGCGACGACAGATCAGTCCCCAGCGACGCATTACACATCGCAGAGACAAATCGTGAGTGTTTTCCATTGGTTGTCAATTTCCTGCCAGAAAATTGGAGCAGATGAGTGTGTGTGTGTGTGTGTGTGTGTGTGTGTGTGTGTGTGTGTGTGTGTGTGTGTGTGTGTGTGTGTGTGTGTGTGTGTGTGTGTGTGTGTGTGTGTGTGTGTGTGTGTGTGTGGTTTTGACATTTTTAGGAGGTGACGACTCCAAGTAATGGCTGTAGTTTTTCAAACTTCCTAGTGAGTTCACCAGTGTTGAAATGGTGGATTCTGGTATTTATGAACCCTTGTGTGTTCCTAACTCCCCCTCTGCTGTTCTCTACATGGCTTTTTTCTTCAGGTCAAGAAGAGTTTAAACTTTAAGTGTGTGTGTGTGTGTGTGTGTGTGTGTGTGTGTGTGTGTGTGTGTGTGTGTGTGTGAGTCTGTGTCTGTTTTGGTTGCAGACAGCTCAGCATTATCACCAGGCAGACGGGTCCTAGTTCTGTTAAGCTGACACTATGCGTTATCATCGTGGTGTCTGTGTGTGTACCACCAACACTCAGTAGCAGAGTGCCTCTCTCCTTCTGACTTGAGATGCAGGATTGGAGAGAACATAAAACAAAACTCCATTGAAAGATTTGGAAATTTAAAGCTGCCTTGCTCAGTGGCCACAATAATAACATGCATAAAGATCTTGTTTGCATCATTAGGAGCCACTCTTTAATTCAAAATTAATACAATCCTGTGTGAGTCCCTTCAGTTTCATCCAGGTACATTCCTGTATTAGATATTTTTACAAACATGGCTTTTTTCCAAGGTATTATCTTAGTTTGAAGCCATTAATGTAATATCTCTTGTAAAAAGACTGAAACTGTGTTAAAACTCTCAACTGAAACCTAAATGGATAACATTTTCTCAGGGTTAGCAGCTCTTAAAAACAGGGTGACTCACCACCCAATTCAATGGCACTTTGCACACACACACACACACACACACACACACACACACACACACACACACACTCCTGTGCCGTCAGCTGTGTGGTGGTATGTAACACAATCTGACTCGGACAACAGCTGCAGCCCAGCCGTACTGCAGAGTCACCACACACACACACACACACACTGCACCAGAATTAGTGACATTCCCGGTGTAGCCGTTTGACGTGGCAGTGCGATGACCTTTCTTATGAGGAGCTTTAGGAGGATTAAGTGTCTAATTATTCAGACGCGTGTGTTTAGAAAAACAGTAACACAAAAAGAAGGGCTTTCAGTCACCTAAAATTAAATTCTGCCTTCTGTCAAAAAATTGTGGAAGTGAACTGCTAATTAGATAATTTAAGACAACAAACCATAAACCCCAGATGATGCAATACAGCTTTAAAAAGATCAAATATTAAAGTTGATATGTAAGCCGTAACCACAGATATTATCAACCTAAGCTTTGCATTACTGTGTGTGTTTGTGGTTTGTCCACTGCTAGCTTTGAGCATAAATTAATATCTAAATTCAAAATACAACACAAATTATTGCAACATATCTTTACTGTCAAAGTTTATACTCAAAGTTTTATTCCTTGTTTGTTTTTGTCCTTTCTGACAGTTATAATAATCCTCTGATAAGAGCAAATATTAACCAGGAATACAGAAGTTGTATAGTTCAAATACTGATCACGGTAGCTTGGAGTGTTTCAGAGTAAAGAACAGAAAAACAATGTAAAACAACAAAAGAAGGAAGAAAATTACTTAGCAGTCTGCATTAAACCACCACGCCCCCTAGTGTTGAGTAATGAAAACAATACGATTTGGATTCCATTAAATCCAGGGCTCTGCAATGTTTGGATTGAGACGATATCATTTGTACATTTAATATAATCAGTTACATGATGAACGGGATAGCGTATGTACAGAGTGTAACAGCAGCCTTGACAGTCACTAATATGAGCAGTCAGTAACAGGTCTGAAAGGCAACAGTCAGAGAGAGAAGGGAGGAGAGTTAAAACAGTTTCCAACAGTCCAACAGGGCAGAAAATCATCGCTGCCTCCTCTCACACAAGGCAAACAATTGCACAGCCCTACCAAAAGGTGTATGTTAAAAAATTCAACTAAGTTAAACCGCCAGAAGTATCATTGCATCTTCTTAAAAAACTGAAAAAGACACAGTGACAGATAATGAACGTTACTTACTGTCTGAATATTGAATGCTGTGGGAATTTCAAAATAAAGGTGCATCGTAAAGTTGGTGATATGGGTCGATGTTTTTACTTTGCATCGATGATATTGGATCGTTCATCATTGAATGGATATAGTGATAACTCACAAGGAGCTGCAGATAAACAGAAGCATGCAAGTGAGATGAAGGTGCTTCTTTTCCCTTCAGGGTTCAGTCAAATGAATAATTGGCATTTTATTCTTCATAAAAGTTTTTTGTCTCATCAGTTCAGACGAATGATGATCAGGACACAGCGGAACAGCACATTACCACTTTAAACTACTTGAATGTGGTACTTAAAAAGCTATTACTGTTATCAACAGAGCACTTACACACTTAACAACATGTTAGCACTTCAGACAACAACTCCAGCAGAGACAGTGTAATAATCTGCTGCTGGTTTAAATAGCTGAGAGCTTGGACACTTCAACAGCGCAGTTATTTTAGCAGCATGAGTACGATGTTTCAGTCCCTGCTATACACAAACAAATACAGCAAACAACTAAATTAGTGAAAGAACATTGGGGGGGAAGAAAAGAATTAAACTGAAAAATCTTTCATTAATACATTAAAAACAAGATTCAGATAGATTTTGAAATACAATTCTGTGAACTTCTCACTGTCTCGCTTGCCTCTATGCAGAGGTAGTCAAAGAGAATATGAGATAGATGGAAAGAAAGCAAAGAAAGAATCGATAGACTGCAAGATGACAAGAACGGGATAAAGAGAAGATTTAAGGCGAGAAGAAGAGCAAGAAAGATGAGAGGAAAGGAGGGAAGAAAATGTGAAAGAGGCCGAGAAGAGAGGATAAGAAAGGTTGGATGAACGGAAAAGGTCGAGAGGGAAAGAGGATAAGGCGAGGCAGAGGACAGGAAAGAAAAGAGGGAAGGAAAATAGAGAGAGAAGAGGAGGAATAAAAAGGCTGTCAGCTCAACAGATTGGCTTCAACAAATAACTCTTCTCCTTGATGTGTCAGAGAATGCTTGAAAGTGTCTCGCTAAGCAGAAATTAAAAGAAAGCATAGAGAAAAGAGTGAGAGAGAAGAAGAGGGGAGGAGGAGATGATATGAAGAGAGGGAAAGAAGAAGGGAAGAAAGAGCACAGAGGATTAAATCTGATGAGTTTCTAGCTTTTAGGACCTCTGACTGAGAAAGAGATCTGTTTCTCATTTTCCGTCTTCCTGTCTTCCTGCTCTCTCCTTCCACTGCAGAAATCTGAGTAAACAAACATTTCTCAACAAGTTGCCCTGCACATGTCCTAGGTGCTCTCCAAATATACAGACTGGAACCATTTTCTACCTTATAAAACATTTATAGGCCTAAGTCTGAAAGTTCATTCTTCATCTTCGAAACAGCCGATTGACAAAACATTTAAAATTTTATAATCATCACAAACATTCTGACCATCTATTGGCAGACAATGAATACAATATTCATATGTATGTTTTCATTAGTGTATAATCACCTGACAATAAGAAAGGTTAGTCTGGAAGGCGATTGGAAGGTTATTGGTTTCAGCTTCTCAAATGTGAATATTTGCTGGTTTTCTTAGTCTTCTGTGTAAGTAACTTGAATATCTTTGGTCACTGTTGGTCAGACAAAACCAGCATTTTAAACCAGCACTCTGATGGACATTCTTCACAAGTTTTGGATCTTTTAGTTGAGGTCTGTACTAGTTTCTGTGTAACATTTGCAGTGTCAGCCAAGAGGGGGACTTCCATGATGCCACTGCGTTGCTTTTGGGAGACACTGGGTGATCTAATCGTCTGTCTGCTCTCTTTCTATCAGGCCGGCCTCGGTGGAGAGGAAACCTCCAGAGCTCAGCACTCTCAACGACGGCTACCAAATCCGCATCTGATCCCCCTCTTCACCTCCCAATCATCCCAAATCCGTCCAGCCTCCTCAGCCACCTCGATCCAAGAGTCTCTACCTGCCACCAGTGTTTTTATGAGAGGAGTCATTGCAGCTGGAGCAGCTGGATCTCACACAGACAAGGTGGATGATGAACACAAATATGCGACGAGAGCTTTTCTGAGCTTGAACAGGAAGAACTTCTTAGAAGCTTTAGACAGAAAGTGACAGTTGGTCTGGTTTTAATACTTCACAGTGGACACTGGCCACTCCTTTGTTTTACACTGACACATTTCAGTCACGTAGCTGAAGGACTTTACTCTCTTGATGTAGGATAAGTTCAGAAGATATCAGTAATATCAATTTATGTCTAGATTTTCAACATTTTAATCAACTGGCAGGAAGGAATTAAAGGCTGAGAGCCATCGTGTCCTGACAACAGATACCAGTAAGTATTTCTGTGACCCCCTTAGTGACCATGTGTCTTAGAGAAGGGCTACAACAGGAAGAGAAGAAAGGGTAGATATTTGTCTGTAAAAATAGTTGAACGTATTGGTTGAGAGAGACAATTGGCCACAATGTAAGAGTCACAGCAAAAAAGATGTTAAGACTAAAAATAGGTCAATTTATTGGTGGTTTTGGCATATCTTAATCATATTATTAATATCGTTATCATAATAGGACTTCTATAGCACAATTTCACGACAGAGAAGTTAGGCATGTAATATCTTTTGTCAGGGAGGTGACTCTTTCATTTTGCTGTCAGTTTTCCATCATGGCGGCGTTCATTGAGGCCTCGAGGCTTTAGGCAGACAGCCAAACATGAGATCATAAGGGAGCAGGAGATTCACAGGTGTAGCTGTTGTTATCCCACTTTATTCACACACGCCTGCTCAACTACTGCTGTACTTTGGCTTCGTCTTTAAGAAAAAGATCACTAAAGGAATGTTTTAGGTACGCTTTGATTTTTTCCAAAAACCTTCCTGAACCAGCAGCAGTTTAAATATGATGACTAAGAAGGCTTCCATATTCAGGGTCCATCGATCAGAGTGGACGAGTGTAGAATAAGGAGAGGGCGTTCAATAAAGCATGCAGGGAAATCATAGACACTGAGTCGATGGAGAGGAATAGGAAGTAGAAGAGAAGAGGTGTGGACAGGAGTGAGGAGAGAGAGAGAGAGGATTCACTGCAGGAGATCAGAGACTGATCATTAGAGCACTGCGGCAAACCTCCCGTACCCCCCCCTCTTCTTCATTCTCCTCTTCCTCTGCCCTCTGTTGACACATAACTGAATACATAACCACAGCTCTGTTTCCATCCATTGAACATCAGAAAGAAACTCCTGCAAACAGACGGACTCAAAATACAGACTACTGTTGTATAAACAGGGAACAGTCTCAGTATTTTAATACTCAAGCTGACAAAGCCTGCTCCTTTATGTCTTCATATTAACTATTAATGGGTCAACATCATTATTTATTTAATCAAATTGATTTCTATTTTTATTTATTGTGTAACCGTAAAGGAAAAAAGTCTCTTGTTGGATGGAAACTTAGCTGCAGGGTGTCTTTACAGGTGCAGAAATCACACTGACCCCTGTAATTAAAATGACTCTACAATCTAGACCTGTGGAGCAGGAAAGAATTGGAGGGTTCACTACTTTATTAAAGGGATGAGAAAGATTTCTTTTAAATATTCAGTTACACAACATTTTGTTTATTTTTTTAGCTAATATCTTTTTTGCATCTCTTATTTCCTGTGTAATACTGGGTTACTTTCACCTCTTCAGAACAGCTCACAGCCCTCACGTCCACTGAACCCATAACCTTTTTAAGAAAGGCCATAAATAGACATAGCTTCATTTTAAGGGGTCACAAGACAAGGAGGTTGGGAACCACTCATCCGAACCAGTGGACTTTAGAGGCCTGAAGAAGTGAAAGTATCCAGAGTTACACAAGAAAAAAGAGAATTTTAGAGCAGTATCAGAAAAAAAACATTTTTGGTCATCCCTTTAATCAGCTTGTAGTTGCTCATATTTGGGAAAATAATAGTCTAGACAGTAATTTTAGTAAAAAAAAATAATACTAAAGCTGCATTACCTAAGATTAAAATGTTTGGCGAATGAGAACATTGTGGGTTAAACGTATTCTGATCTCACTCAAGGTACCTTTTAAAAAAAAAACAAAATCCAATCAATAGTATTTCCAGAACAAGTCAGCAGCAGAAGGCAAGTGGAGTTTCATATGTGTCGACCAAACTGAGCAGTAGCCAATCCGTGTGTTCACACAGTAAACTAACTGTGAGCTGTTAGCCAGCTGGCTGCTGCCTTCACAGCTGGAAAATAAAATGATTCAGCTGGTCCCAGTTCAGCCGCAGCCAGTTTGTCCACTCAGACAAACAAGAAGTGAAGGCAGATGTTGTTGGCTGGGTGAACACATTGTAACAAAGGCCTCATTCAAGACAGATTTACGTGGCAGCGGGATGCAACACTCTGTGCACGCTGTCTGCGGATATTAAAGGCGGCCCGGAGCACGGGGTCAGGCCCTTCGAGGGCTTTGAAATGATTGTTTGCTCACGAAAATACTTTTCTATTATTTAGATTTGTCATGTTTTAATGTCAATGATGAATTGCCTTTTGGTTTAATACTCTGAAAATCAATTGTGATTCAGAGTCAAAAGACTCCCCTGTAACATGAGGGTGAAAATCTGCTCAGCTTTGTGTTTGGCAAATATCAAAGTTTAACTTTGCAGGAGACAAGTAAGTGTCAGGAAACCACTAAAGTTCTCAGAGCAGCTTGATAAATCATTCTTTCGCTCTGTGAAACTTCAGTACCAAGTGACCTATGAGAGCCCATTCAGTACTGTATGCACTGTTTCACGCTTGTATGCGTGATGTATCATAAGGATTGTCAAAAAAACCCAAACGAGTTTGAATTTGTTTGAGGTTTTTTGGATTCTCCTGTTGAGGCCTTCGATGAATCTAAGCTGAAAAGCTTGAAATCTCACGCCGATATTTGTACCAGTTCTGATACAAATGCTTGAAATGACGGCAGAATATCACATATCAAAGCCGGATATCTTATCACACAATACACAAACCTGAAATCAAAATGGATATCTAACATATGCTGTTAGCCATACTGTACTTAGATACAGTAGATATATGTGTACACATAAATACATCTATGTTTATTCATGTTTGTTGCATCCACAGAATGTACTGTACAGTTTGAAGCCTTCAGACTGAGAACTATATAAGTCAGTTTTAATTAAGAAAATATATGTAAGTATAACCCTCCACTGCTGGCCCCTGACCAGCTCTATCCACAGAATTAAGGGCTTAAATGTGTTGCTTAAGGGCGTCTAGAGAGAAAACGAGGTTTTTATTCAGATAAAATCTGTGTTTAAAATTTAAAAGCAACTTGATCTCTAAAGGTTTGGCTACTTAGAATTAAATTGATGATACAACTGTCGGCCTTCAGGACATTTACAAAAACTGACTTCTCTAGTTTTCATCTAAAGGATTCATTTGAAGAAAAAAGTTGTTTCCCAAAATCAAGCCCAGCGACTACCTTTGTTCAATGAAGCTGCAGCGGGCAACTTTACAGATCTGGCAACCAAAAGTGGCAATGAGAGCTAGAAACAAAAGACCTATTTAAAAGGCTTTTTAAAGATTATTTTAAATACATGTCAAATTTAGGGAAAACACCTGAGCAGCCTAATTTCACTTTTCTTGTTTTGGTCACATCAGTCATCAGCAGAAGGATTTCGGGAGTCAGTGTACAGAATATTTCCGATTTATTGTCGTCTGATTGTTTTCTGACTTTTCTTTGAATGTTCCACGGTGTCTTCTCGCTCACAGAACAAGTGTTAACTACAGACATTTTTACCCTAGCTTTTTGTTTTAACAACAAGCTATGCACACACAAAACTAAAATCCTAGTCTTCCACAATTCAAACGATGGAGGAGAAAGGTCTTTGTGGCTCGATCTACACAAGAACAGATGACATTTTAAACCATCATTTAAAACAGTTCTACTCTAACCGGGACCTCTTGGTAGCTTTTCTTCACAACGTATAACACAAAGCTTCCCCTCTGTGTAGATCCAGCCTGAGCCATTATCACTGATTCAAGGTGCTGTAAGAAAAAGCAGAATATTTTTACATATTTCTGACGTTTGGCCAGTAGTGGACCATTAGCACAGCCCAGAGGCCGAGATCTGACCATTCACATCTCCGACTCTGGCGCAAACCAACCAGCTCGACGTGTTAATATTTGTATTGAAGGTTAAGTGTTGATATTTTCTACAGGCTTGATGTTTGTTAGCAGACGAAAGAAGCACAACGCTGCTTTTGCTTTTTGCGTATTTAAAATCCTATTTCACACCGGCGTTGTGGACAAACAGATGGAAGAACTGATGCATATTCACACTGAAGAAGCTCCATATTTTTGGAGTACATTTTCTCACATGTATTTTTGGAACTATACAAAATACAAGAGATTCAAGGACCTAAAGTTCCCAAATTTCAAAAAGGACTAAAAACTTTTCGGATTTAAAGATCCAAACTGCAGTTCCGGAGGATTTTACCCAACAACAGTGACAAACTACCTGACCGCTCAGCACAGACTCAAAAACTGTGACAAGACAAAAAAAACAAACCCAAACAACCTGAAACAGTGATACTTAATGTAGCAACCTGTTCTTATGTCAGTTTGCAATAGAGACTTTTGTGCTTGACAATTTATCTTATTGAATGTTTTCCTTTTTTAGTTTTTTTTTTTTTTTTCAGCTTGTGGTTTTATTTCTGGATTCTGTTTTATGAAGACATTTGGGTTTGATTCATTGATTGTACTCTATCATTTTGAATGAGAAGCATTTGTTCAAAGAAAAAAAAAGAAAAGAACAGCTTGTAGTTGTAGCAGGTTGTTCTTTTGATGGCCTTTGATTCGTTTCCAAAGTGCTGATACCGCGTTTCTCAACTCCATCTTAGTCCTAATCTCACTGTACTGTTAAACTAAAACACTGTAGTCTGTTCTAAAATCGGTGATCAATGAGACAACTTTTATGACCACGCTGGACACAAATTTGACCACATGAAGATCTTGAATCTCTGCTTTGGCCCATTTCAACAGCAGTGATGTCAGTAATATACATATCGGTTAGTTTACACACTAGTTGACCTACCTAGGTGACTAATCCATTAAATCAGAAAGCTCCCTGTTGCATTTTTGCTGGACAAAAAAAATTGCTTTACATTTTGCATTCATGCTGAAACTCTCAAAAGCCGAACCAAATTCAGAGCAACATATCCGTTTAACAAAGACATTTGATGGACACGATAAATGTCCATGTGATGCTTCCAGTGCCTCAGCAGTATGAGTTTAATTAGATTATTTAAATATCTTTATTTAATTTTTGACTTTTTGTCTTTTTTTTTGAAGGAGTTGCTAATGTGCATTGTAAAAACTGTCACAATTGTATTTACCAGAGAACGTCATCCAGTCACAACTGTTCCCTCTTGTTTGACTGACTGGGTTTGTTTTCCCGTTCAAACATATTCTGAAATTCTGTGACTTTCTGTGTTTTTTTGCCCTTTGTTTTGCCTGTTTCAAGAAACTTTTTCGTTGTTACGAACATTTCAAAGCAGACAGATCGGCTCTGCGCTGCAAAGAACAAAGGGACAGTCAGCCTTCTATCAAACTCTCAAGTCTGACGTTACATAAGACGAGCAAAAATTCGGTGTGATGTGTGTGTGTGTGTGTGTGGGAATCGAACCCTAAAACCACTGTAACCGTATTCTGCCAGAATCTTAACTGATCAAAGCTCATTGACGGGACTGAGGAACTCTGATGAATTTAATATGTGGAAACTCCACAGAGCCCTGAGGAGCTGACCTACACACACAAACACACTTATTATTATTATTATTATTATTATTTTTAAAGAGCGCTGTTGAGTCCGCCCAGGTTCCCTGTGTGAGGATGTGGTGTGGTTTTGTATTCCTGTGGAGATGCATAGTAGGAAAAGATGTGACCCTCAGTCAATATTACTATTGTAACTTTCCTACTGTTACAGTACCAGTGGTCTGACAGCAGCTGTTTCTATCAACAACTGTAGCAGCATGTGTTCTTTTAATAAATGATCTATGTTTTTAACTGCGTGTTCCTTTACTTTTTACATTGGTGTATGTAAGAGACATGTGATTGATTAACTTATTGATTGACTTATTGATAAAAGCATAATACAGTTCATTACAAACTCTTTTAATGTACTGTTAAATTTAAATTTGCACGTTGTACATTAGAGGGGGACAGGACCGGTGTTATTGGCTGATTTTAGCTTATCACAAATATATTGGTGTTGGCATATACAGTATGATGATGGGTAAGTAAACACCAAAGATATGTTTGAGGTCATTTAGTTGCTTTCCATTACTGTGTTTATTTATCAGAGAGGTGCTGACAAGTTTATTTTTACACTCTACACATATAGGTCATAGGTGATACATCTCTAAAAACTAATTCAAAGGATCTTTATGAAAAATGTTTTGTGTTCATTTTAAAAAACAAATGTCAGCTGGTAATGCTACTTATTACAATTTGTTTACTTATTACAGTGTAATATTAATTAAATATTACACCATAAAAACCAGACTGAACACAACACAGTACCACAGAGAGATTAGCTGTCTGGTTGGTTCGTCCTTCAGCAGCAAACAGCTCAGGACCAGCAGCGTTCAGACTGAGGACAGGCAACATGAGAAGGAGAAGAATTTAGCTGAACACTGAAAATGGAAGAACTCAGGTGACCGGCTTCCAGTTGAGAGAAACAGGTGACTAAATTTAAAAAAAATAGAAGATCTATGAATCTGAAGAAGGATGTTAGTGAAAAAAAGAAGAGCACAACATTCTCAACAAACCCTCATGAGACGACAAACTTAAGAACAGAAGAAGAGAGGCACGATGAAGCAGCAGAGAACTGTGTTATGAATTCCTCTTTAGATGACAGTCCTGTATACACTCATGCCACACTACAGCCTTATGAAATAATCTGCTTATATTCCACTGCAGATGTGAGTCTCTCCCTCTGTGTGTGTGTGTGTGTGTGTGTGTGTGTGTGTGTGTGTGTGTGTGTTTCAGTCAAGCACATGGAGGCAGCAGATTTATAGAAATAATCCTTCATTTCTCATTTATTCAGCAGCTTAGGGATTGGAAGGCAGGAGAGGCTCACCTCGCTGTCAATGGGTTATTATGATGTGGGTTTATCTGTGTGTGTGTGTGTGTGTGTTGAGCTCTCTGTTATGATGATCAAGCTGTCAGGGTGAGATGGCAAGCTTTTCAAGACAGAAAGATAATTTAGTATCCTATTTGGTTTTAATATTTTGATTTGTTTCTCAAATCTCATCTTTCCTCCCCTGTAGTCCCTCATGTGGTGTCTCTGCTCCTTTACAGTAACACTGCACAAGTCTATGAAGATATTTTAGACATGTTGGGACTACAGGTGTAAATTAGCTGATGAGCTAAATTCAGCACGCTGATATTTTTAAAGTGTCAAAATTGATTAAGTACAAAGTTTCCTGTGAACGTTTCCAGTGCAAATTTTTTTTCCTCACCACAATATTTTCTCTCACAACAAAGTTACAGATAACGTGCAACATCTAACACTGGAAACAACTGTTCATATCCTGCGCCATGTTATAAATCAGTTCCTGTGAGAGGAGGTGTTGCAGCGTACATCATGCAGGTGAGCTGAGAAGAAACAAAGCTCAGTGACAGTTCAGTGAACAGCCTGCAGGCTCTTTGTCAGTGCGAATTCATGTCAGTTTCAATACCTTCTGAGGATTTCACAACACAAAATAAGACGAGCACATCTACAAAAACATCTCAATCCATTCCTGCAGCATGATCCAGGAACAGTCACTTTGTCTACCCTCACTGCTCCATCATCACAGGTTAACACAAAGTCCGCTGCTGCTGCCATCTAGTGCCCATATAAAGGGAACAACATCACTGGTTTTACTCTCACAGGGTGCGAGCTGAGCCGAGAAATCTGATGAGCACAAATGTTTCTGCAGTAAAACCGCATGAGGACACTCAGATAGCAGCTATCAGGTGATCTGTACAGAAACGTGTGGGATGGAAAAGCAGTGACAGCAATAACGTGCATCTGCCCCTTACTCACTGATATACAGGAGGTGGACAAATTAATAGAAACACTTTATAATACGACAACAAATACTCATTTGGAAAAGCTTAACATTACTATAGAACCTAGACACTTACTATAGTAGATATAGCAGTAAGTCCTGCCATATTTAGGTTTAATGTGATGACAAATCTCTATCTTCTGAGGAAGACAGTTAAAAGCACTGGAAAAAGGCAGCAAGTGGACCTTGAGTACTTTTTTTTGGTCAAACTTTTACTATGAAATCGGAGACTTTTCAGGCAGACATTTGTACTGTCAGTCACTGTGTATGAGGGTAGACGGCCATAAATTACAGAGATCAAACATTCTCAGTCTGGACTAAATGACAAATACAGTTTTGTTCTGATCTGTCCAACTTGAGTTATTAGTGTTAATAGCATCTTATTTTTAACGTCTGCTTAAAGTTATAAAGGCTCAATCTGCGAAGAGTGCAGGAGAATATAACACTAAGTCCCGAGTTGTGGTGACATGATATTCCATGCGCATGTGGATGAAGGTATTGAAATCTGACCCCAGAACAGACGTAAGGGAGTCTGGAAAGCCGGCTGAGATCCAGCCGAGTGTCTTGCTGCAGTGCAGAGTGATGCACAGAATACCAAGAGGTCTGAGTCCTCAGTATACAGTGTTTGTGAGGGGAGCCGAGGTAAACGGTGCAACCATCTGTCTCTCTGTCACACACACACACACACACACACACACACACACACACACACACACACACACACACACACACACACACACACACACACACACACACACACACTAAAGTGGCTTAAGATGTAGAGCCTGTTTCACTGAGATGTAAAAGTGAAAGACAAACAGGTCCCAATAGAAAACAACAGAAGATACAGCCGCTTCCATTTACAACTAAAATATATATATATATATATATATATATATATATATATATATATAACCACCAGCAGTGTCCCATTACACATGAATAAGAAAAAAACAACTCCATCCCATCAGACTGAGGATGACAAACAGCTGACTCCCTGTAGAACAATGAATGGAAACTAAACAACTGTCTGCTGATTGGAGCAGCTATTTCTCCCATGACAAATGAACGGGGGAACCCAGCCAACTCCCATTACACACGAGCAATAGAAACAACCACCTTTCTGTACAAACTAACATGAAAGTAGTAGGAGGACATATTCTAAAGTACGGCGAACGCACACACAATGAAGATCCTGGAGTCTTCCTGTTTGTCCAGGTGACAAACCAAAGTCGCTGTAAAGGATATATGAGATTTAAACATTAATAGAGCAGCAAACAACTATGTACAATATAAATATATACTAGAGTCCTGGTGTCCTTATGTCACAATCCCTCGGCTGTGTTGGACTGAAACTGTTTTTCCTCATGTATGTGGGTGAATTAAAGATTTCTTTTGATTGAACCAGAGTTGGTGATTACTGGAACAGTGGGAAGACTAACAAAGACTGTTTTGGTGAGTTTTATTTTGTGTATGTCTACTTTGAACAAAGTTACAATGATCAGATGATATGCAAGGTAAAATTAGTGTTTTTGTCCCTGGAGTCTGGTGACTACTGTCTCTGGTCAGAATAACAATCTGAGCCCCGTTAGTGGCAAAAACAAAAGCTTTTAGTGAACGTACTTTTTGACGGGCGTGTTTGCATTTACTATTTGCAGCATGTTTCTAAGCTATTTTTCATGTAACTCTGTGAATTCAGGCTTTATTTAGACTAAACCAGCGTTGATGATTGTTGGAAAGACTACCAAAGACGGTCTGGGGTAGTTCAGTTTCAGTTCATTTTGACGTCTGTTTTCAGATTATATGCTAGGTAAAAGTACTAGTTTTATGAATGGAGTTTGGTTGGCTGTAGTGCCCACTGTTAGTCTGAGTTGCTCTTGTGTGACATCTAGTGGCGACTGAATTTCATGCATATAACCTTTAAGCAGCTTGTGTACTGATGACACTGATGACAACATTAAACCAACAGCAGCCACATGTAAAAACACCAAAGTCCTTTATTTACAATCAATATAAACAAGAATGTTAAAAAAATATATCCACTTGACATCGTTGATTATGTTTGTAAGTCTGAAATTATAGCACAATGTCCACTAGTGCATTTGAAAATCCCACCATTTTCCTTTTCACCGATGGCACTAAATTCATACCGTTTACACTTCTAGGTTAACAAAATAAAAGCTTTTACAGACTGGCTCTGCAGATGAAATCTACAGCATATCCACCTTTCTAAATATTGTTTTAAATGTGAAGCACTTTTATAAATTATTAATATTTTTAAGGATAAGTAAATCAAACTTGAAGAGATATAATCTCCTCCTG